GCACTAGCGACACCTAATTAAAACCCACGGATGTCTTCTTGGGGTATTTCTTTAGTGGGTCCCTTTTTCGTTTGTTCTCGTATATCTGCCGAATGCTACTACTGGACGGTTCCTACTCTGTTCTGTTTAATTGGTTTTCTGACTTTGCATAGAGCATCGGCTATTGCTAGTTTGGTATCCAAATTGGGCAAATAAAATTTCTTCGCTCTTTTGGCTAATAACCAACAGTTCACGGCTGTCATGTCAATGAAATGAATGAGCATTGTAGTAACGATTTTATTATCAAACCAGGACACTACACTGACATCCAGATTGTCTATTTTCTCTACCATATGACCTCTACAGCGCTTCTTCATTTCTTTCTCAGCTGGCATCGCAACTCCAGGAACACGATTAAGTCTTACTGTTCCCAAAGGTAAAATGCCCCCTTTGGTCAGATATATCATAAGAGGTATGATGGTGAACCAATTGTAAAAAAACAACTTGTAATGTTGATGTTTTGGTATTAAATCTGTTAATTTGACAACCACGTTGCTGCTCATACTAAGATTTGGTGCTCCTAGAGGTAGAATATTACTCTGGGAACCAGCAAACAAGTTAAAGTCAGCTAAGTCCCGAAATAGCACTTAGCATAGAGTTTTTGAAACCCCACTTATGTGGTTTTTTGGGTTATATTGCTTTAGCTGGCTTCGCGCTTTTGTTGGTATAATCTGTTCGTCTACAGCTAGAAATTCTTCTTTCGGAACCATGAGTAGTTGTTCTTTGATTTGGCCCAGAACAGGTCTAATTTTGAATAATCTGTCATTGGGTCAATAACTGTCCAGGCTGATCATTTTCAATCATGTCATCATTGTTATTGAAATGCAAGAAACGTTTTATTTTTTCGAATCTGTTACAGCTCATCACATCGCTAACTGTTCGGTGGCCAATATTGGCATTCCAATAGTGTCTTGTTGATGGAAGTTGAATTATCGACATGTAAATAGTAATTCCTATAAATTGTTCTATTTCATATTTTTTATATTAGCTGGTTTATCTGGACGTTATTGCACTGAGTATAAATTTGATCTTTCTGTGATATCCTCTATAAGAGTATCAGGAAAGAGAAACTTAAAAAATTGGACCGAAGTTTTTAATTGTAAAATCGAAGAAGGAAATTTTCAGAACCAGTAAATTTTGTATCATTTTCTGATCTTCTCAGATTTCCTTTCACCCAATTATGAAATTTCTTCCTGTTATATCGTAGTCTTTCAGCCAAAGGGGTATCATAATCTAAGGAACCTGTGGATGATGCAGAAATGAAAGTTTCCTTTACATTGCTTGGTAAATTTTCACGCTCCTCATTGTCACTATCTTGACACAATATCATCTCATTTGTGTCGTCTCCATCGGAGGGATCTGATTCTTCACTATTAGTACTACATATTTCGAATTCTAACTGCATTCATTGTACCATAAAAGAGTTTCGGATCCATACCTACAAAACCAATCAATGATTCCATAACTTCATAGTGTGCCATATATTGCACAAACCCTTTTGGGGTTTTCGAGAGAGTTTCAACATTCTTAATGTTTAGTACTTACCTAAGCAGATATCTAATATCACAATACAATAAATTTCAGTTTTTTCTCGCCGTAAAAAACGTTTTTACTATGAAAAATAACCTCTAACTTCGAGCACTGTTTCACGTGGTTCAGAATTTCAACAACAATGAACTTGAAACTGCGCATAGCTGCTTATCTCCCCATCAGAACTATGCAGCATATCTCGCGTACACTATTGGTACGTGTCAGATATGGGCTGAAAAAATTGAGTTGAAACATTAAAACTTTTTTTTGTTTATGCCATTTATGGCACATGATGCGGTAAAGGGTTCACCGATTTTAATTTAGCATATCTCATTTTGTGTATCTTTTTTTTCCAAAAAATTGGCTGTTGACGTCAAATCTCTAAATAGACAAGTTCTTAAGTTATGAATAAAAATTGATGAATCCCTAGATGACAGTATGTTTGTAATGCCTTATACTACACATTTCAACTATCTAACCTACAGTCCTAGGAAACGGCGGGAAAGAAAAAAGGGAAGGCCACTATCACGACGGATGAAAGGTATTGAAAACGACACAAATACTATAAATATCACATACTTACTGGAACAATAAAGCAATAAAAAGTTACAGTTGTTTTGATATTCACACTAGCACTACAAAATTGATGTATTTTATGAAAAACTTAACCTTATTTTAAATTCAAATTTTAAACCAAATCAATTCATATTTTTAACAGGCGATTTTAATGTAAATTCCATGACACTAAATAATTCACACAGATTTTCTGGTCTTCTAGCATCTTATGGTTTGTCACCCAGGAACTTTACACCTACAAGGTCGACTTCCACATGCGGAAATATTTTGGATCAGGTATATACAAATTGTGATGATTGTGTAGGTACTGTAAATGTAAATACTGAATCGGATCACGATATATTCCTTTTAAGATTGAATTTTATTAATCTAACTATGACAACAGTTCGAAATACTTTCAGAGTAACACATGAAGGCGCTATAGATGCATTCAACAATCTCTTGAGTAAAGAAACATGGCAAGATGTTTATCATGCAACTGATGTTGAGAGTAAATATAATGCCTTTCATGATAAATTACAGTTCTATTTCAATATTAGTTGTCCTATTAGAGAAACCAAACATTACCAAAACAAAAAAAATACATGGGTCACCCAAGAAGTAAAATCTTCTTCAGATAGTCTGAAGGATTTGTATATATTGAGTAAGACTTACCCTGAGCTAAAAACTCTACATAGACAAAAAAATATCAGCACAAAGTTCTTGTTGAGGCCACAAAGGGTCAATTTTATTTTAACAAAATCTCTAAATCCTCTAACAAAAACAAAACCACATGGGCTGTTATAAATGAACTTAATGGAAAACAAAAAAATCACAAAAATATCTGTCTAAAAATAGATGATACTAGGATTACAGATTCAGATATAATATCAAACAAATTTAATGATTACTTTATAGATGCACCAGTGGATATAATTAGTAAAATAATTAAACCAAATTTAAATTTTCAGCATTCCAATGATTTTGTTCAAAGTAGTTTGTTCCTATCTTATGTAACAGAGGAAGATGTCTTAGATATAATAAAATATAAAATTAAAAACAAAGCATCGTGTGGTTTTGATGAAATATCAGGTATAGTAATTAAGAAAATTGCGTCTCAAATTTTGACACCACTGACTCACATTATAAATGCTTCTTTCAATACTGGTGTTTTTCCCAATATGCTGAAAACTTCTATCATTTCACCGGTATTAAAACAAGGTGATCCTGAATTAATGTCAAATTTTCGACCATTGTCTGTTCCATCTGTGATATCTAAGATTATTGAATATGCAATGCTAAAACAACTTTTATTATTTTTAGATATCAACCAAATTATCACAAAGCATCAACATGGATTTCGAAATAAATTTTCTACTTCCACAGCCATTAACAGTTTTTATGAGGAAGTCTTACTCTCAATTGAGAACAGTGAAAATCCAACTGCCATTTTTTGTGATCTCAGTCGTGCATTTGATTGTGTGCAACACGATGTGCTCCTCGATAGATTGTACAGATATGGTGTTAGGGGAGTTGCCCATAGTTGGTTTGTTTCCTATCTGAAAGACCGGCACCAAATAGTTAAAGTGAAAAATAACTTCAAGATTTCAATGTCTGATCCGATTATTAATAAGAATGGAGTACCACAGGGCTCAATATTGGGCCCTATATTATTTATTTTGTATATTAATGAACTACCACATGTAATGCCTGATGCATTTGTATCAGTTTATGCGGATGACTCAACAATGCTATATCGCGATAAAGACATAAATTTTTTACAAGATAAAATAACAAACTCTCTGAAGACCTTCTCTGATTGGTCCAGTAATCAGTCGCTCCTGTTCAATGTTCACAAAACTAAATTTTTATCATTTACATCACGTTCAAATTCAACTAAACCTGATTTAAGTATTTCCATCAATGGTGAGGATATTTTGAGTTGTAGTGATGTGAAGTTTTTAGGAGTGACTTTCGACTCTCATTTATCTTTTAAGACTCATTGTTGGAATGTATGTAAAAAACTCAATTCTAAATGTTATCAATTGAGAAATTTGGGTAGAATACTTAGTCTGCAACACCTTCGTCTTTTTTATTTTGCTGAGGTACAATCGACAATAAGTTACGGTATAACTGTCTGGGGTGGTTCTTCTAGTGTAAAGGACGTTTTCAAGGCCCAAAAGCGTATTGTCAGATGTATAGCAGGTGTTCCGTATGGTTGGTCTTGTAAAAACCTATTTAGAGATTTGAATATATTAACAGTGTATGGAATTTACATTTTGGAATTATTGATACTAATTCATAAAAATAAAAGAACTTTTTTATGTAACAGTGATATTCACTCACACAACACAAGAAATAAGAGACAGTTTGTAGTACCCTATCGACATTTAGAAATAAGCAGGAAGTCATCTACTATCTGTGGTTTACTACTGTATAATCAACTTCCTCAAAATTTTAAAAACATTAATTCAACTACAGCTTTTAAAAACCAAGTCAAAGAGTACCTAGTGACCATGTGTCCTTATACATTAGGTGAATATTACGAGGGTGTATCTGTGAATGCCTAAGCTGCAACATAACCAAATTTATTAATATTTTAATTATATGTCTATATTGTACGTTTTTTAAGTATTTTAATGTTTTAAATATTTTTAATGTATTGTTTCCATTTTTTGTAATATTTAATATTTATAATTTTAGTTTTGACTTGCTGTAAACCTAGTTGTAACTTACAGTCAAATAAACTATCTATCTATCTATCTATCTATCTACAAAGTTTAGAGACATATAGTTTTCTCAATTTTTTTAAATTAAAAAAAAATGTATCATTTAACTAAAAAGTTATATTGCTAATAAATATATTTTCAACTTACCTTCTTTTTCGTCCTTATCATCCATCATATTTTCTATGGTATTAATAACGTACGGTAATGGTGCTTTTTGCATCACAAGACATAGTTCATTAAGGTATGTAATTATTCCAAGATCTCCTGCTCTTCTCATATATATCGCTCTCAATGCTCTTTCTGATATAATTTCCATAAGTTGATTTAGCTCACGATCATTATCAATATTAAGAATGCCTTTTATTTTCATCAAAAGCCGATAAGCACATTTGATGTCTTCTGGATGGTAGCTTTCATTAAACAGGCCGTCCATTATTAAACTAAATAACCTATCCAAATCTTCAAGGTCGGTCTCTAATATTGTTCTAGATTGAAGAATTTTGTCCAAGGCAGAACATAATGCACCCAGAGCACCTGAGGAACTGACCTAAAATATTTTTTGAACTAATAATAAATTCTTTTCAAAAAATTAACCTTTTGATAGTTTTTTTAGTAAGTCCTAGTAGGAGCTATAATTTCAGATGAGATCTAATAATACTAAGTTACGTAGAAATCCGTACGAAGATTATAAATATTATGTTTATATAAAAATAAGCCACAATTGATTGTAATGAAACAATTTTATAATTGTTATTCTACATCATTCTACATACATAATACATATACAACACACATTTTTCACAAACGTAAAAAACAATCAAAATTTGATGTCATCCTGAGGGTACAAACACTACTCTTAGAATTTTCAACTAAAAGCATGGCTATTTGACTACAAGATCAAAGTCAAGTAAGTCAATCGTCAATTTGGAAAACAATAACACTATTTTTAAAATAATCTTTAAAAAAAAATTTCTGAGTGGAAATCGAAACGGCAAATCATCATCATCATCCAGCCGAATTTTCACATCCATTGTTGGATATAGGCCTCCTCCAAACGTCTCCAGTTCTCTCTATCTCTAGCTGCTGCAATCCAGTTTGTTTCTATTCTCTTTAGGTCGTCGGTCCATCGGGTGGGTGGTCTGCCTCGACTTCGCTTGTCGGCTCTTGGTCTCCACTCCAATAATCTCTTCGTCCATCTTCCGTCTTCCATTCTAGCAACATGTCCAGCCCACCTCCACTTTTGTTTATTGATTCGCAGTATAATATCGTCTACGCCAGTTCGTCGGCGTATCTCCTCATTTCTTACGCGATCTTTCAAGGTCAGGCCCAGCATTGATCTCTCCATTCGCCTTTGTGTTACCCTCAGTTTTTCGGCAGTAGCTTTCGTTAAAGTTAAGGTCTCTGCTCCGTAGGTCAAGACTGGTAAGATGCATTGGTTAAATGCCTTCCTTTTCAGGTGAATTGGGATATTTGTTTTAAAAATGTCTCTCATCCGTCCATATGCCGCCCATCCCAACGTGATTCGTCTATTTAGCTCGCAGGTTTGGTTGTCTCTGGTTATTCTAATTTCATGACCCAAGTATGTGTATTTATCGATTAATTCTACCTTGTTGTTATTGATCTGTATCTCTTCGCTGGGAACCATATTGGTCATCATTTTGGTTTTCTCAAAATTTATCTCCAGCCCAGTTTCTTGTAGTATGTCATTCAGTTCTTGGAGCATGTCTTTGATCTCTCCCAGATTATCTGACAGAAGCACGATATCGTCCGCAAAACGTAGATGGTTTAATCTTTCTCCATCGATGGATATTCCTTTCTGTTGCCATGTTAGTCTTTTAAATGCATACTCAAGAACGGTAATGAACAGCTTTGGTGACATGGTATCACCTTGCCTGACTCCCCTTTTTATCTTTATTTTATTAGTTGCAGAATATAGACTTATGGTTGTTGTGGCATTTTCATATATATTTTTAATTATATTACAATATCTGTGGTCGATCCTGCAATCTTGTAGTGCTCTTAAGATGGACGGTAGTTCCACTGTATCAAACGCCTTTTTAAAGTCTACAAATATCAATGCCAAGGGACGGTTATATTCGTTAGTTTTTTCTATTAGGGTTTTTAGGCACTGCAGGTGATCGTTTGTGCCATAATTAGGGCGGAAACCAGCTTGTTCCCGAGGTTGGTAAAAATCCAGCTTTGTCTCTAATCTATTCGTTATTATTCGGGTGTATAATTTATAAAGATGGTTAAGGAGACTGATTGGTCTGTATCTTTCCAGGTCTGCTATATCTCCCTTCTTGTGTAAGAGTACAGTTATTGAATTATTCCACTTTGTTGGGATATTTTGATTCCATAGGCATAGATTAAAGAGCTTTTGAATTTTGGCTATCAGTACTGAGCCTCCTAACTTTATCGCTTCCGTGACGACACCATCCTCCCCCGGAGCTTTGTTATTCTTCATCTTTTTTAGAGCCTTGTAAATTTCGTCCAAGGAGATTTCTTGTAGTAGTAACTGTTCATTAGGAATAGGTTTTTCTCTAGTAGGAAGTTTAAAAGAGTGTCGCCACGGTCGTTCCGTCCCTGACTTCCAAAATTTCCAAGAGCAGTTTCTGCTGGATCCAGTTTTGTTCCTATTTTGGCGTTAAAGTCTCCACATATAACTGTGAAGTGTGTGCGGTTGTTTGTGATGGCTGTACTTAAATCATCATAAAAGACTTCGATCTCCTCGTCTGTATATTCTGTTGTTGGAGCATAAACTTGGATAACTTTTAGATTATATATAGTATTTATTTTAAAGGTGGCATATGTAACTCTAGTGGATACTGATTGGACAGTTTTTAGATTTCCTGCTAGCTGTTTGTTTATTAAGAATCCGACGCCTCCTACTGACTTATGTTGTTCTCCGTGATAGTAAAACAAGTGACCGGATTTTAGGGTCTCGAGGCCTTCACCTCGCCTTCTCACTTCACTAACTCCGACGATGTCCCATCTGATCTTTTCTAATTCTTCTTCCATTTCTTTAAAGCTTTCATCAGAAAGTAGAGTTCTAGTATTCATGGTTGCAATTTTGAGAACTGTTTGTTTTTTAAAAGCATGCTCTTGTCAAATTTGTGTCCCCCCCAGAATCCTTGGGACAGACTGATAAATCAGTGTGAGAGTGTCTACTCACCTGGGTAGTTTCCGTTTTGTTTTAAAATTTGACATTTGTAAGGGTTTTTGGCTAAGTTCCATGCCACGCGAGCCACTGCGTGTTGGCAAGGTTTCCGTTTCAGCCGCCCACTCTGGGTCAGACGCCGCTGTTGTTGCAGTATCACAGCCGCTTAACTCATAATGTGAGTGACGCCTGTGAGTATCTGGAATTAAGCCTACAGGATTTTTACTTCCCATAGCCTTAAATCCAGTAATGACATTACTGCTGCCTAATGTCATATCCTCAGTTGATCCGCGGGTACTTATTTGGCATTGCCTTATTCGTACCTGTCCTGCATATCTGCAGGAACTTTCCCTATCAGCCATATGGGACGTGCCGTGTCGAGGTTGAGGACATCCCCCGTCCAGTCTGGCAAATAGCAATTATAAAATGTAATTTTCATTATACTTAATGGTGGCTTAATCCCATAATATTGTCCCATAATATGATATTATCAACATAATATTTAACATATACATTCAACTAACCTCATCAAAATTTTGTAGAATATACACCAGAAGATTCATACAGTCAGTGAATTCAACTGAAGAATGAATAACTAAGCACTTTAAAAGTATTGCAAATGATTTTTCTCGTAGATTAAAACTGTCGATCACCAAATTGATGATAGAAGGCCTAAAAAATAACTAAATTATAATACACTGAAAATAGGTTTAAGATTTTAATTATAAATCTTTCTATATCTGGTAGTCTGATAAGTAAAATCCTTCGTTGGGGCACTGCAATTAAAAAAATGTTAGTTTCGGAAAATCTAACTTTTTGAGGCATATATATCAAATTTAGTAGCAATCTGATTCTCGAAGCGTGAACATGTACCGTCATTCAAAGCGCTAGAGAATTTCCTTATCGTAAAACTACCTAATTAACTAGTAATTATCTTATCAGCATCAAAAAATTGTTAAAGTGAAAAGTAACAAAAACTACGTTATTAGAAAAACAAAAGAAATATGTTCCCTTCGGGGAACTTATTAGGATTTGATAATAATGGCCAACCAGTTTATCAACAAATAAATACTATACAGAATGTCCCAACAATAAATAACCAGAACCAGTCAAACCTAACAGCAGTAAAACCGCAAGTACCATTTTTGTATTTTAATCAAAAAATCAAATCAAAGCTATACCAAACCAAGTATTTCCTAGTCAATCAACTGCACAAAATATTCAAAACCCTATTCAGTCCCAATATACAACAGTATCCACAAACCCTTAATGCTCACTCTCATCATCACAAAACACCAATAACTACACGGATAGCGATAGCGACATAGAACTTAACGAAACAGAAAACGAAAATAAACATTCCTGGCAAGAAGTTGGCAATAAGAGAAAAAGGGTGAAAAGACAAACAACTTCAGAAATTCCCAACCAAATCCAAACACAAAACAGATTTGATTCCCTCTCAAAAGAAAATCTAGATGAACAAACAGACAATTTATCAAATACACAAAACACAAATATAACCAAAAAAGATCCGTCACCGCCACCAATCTATATTTATGGAGTTACTGACTATAGTGCTATGATAGCAAACCTTTCAACTGCAACTGCGGCAGAAACCTATCATACCAAAACCGATTTCAAATAATACAGTAAAAATTAACCCTACAAACTCAGACACCTACAGGATACTCATACAGCACCTTAGAAAAGAAAACATTGTACATCACACTTACCAACCAAAACAAGAGAGGGCCTATAGAGTTGTCACAAGAGGATTACACCATTCAATACCCACAGGAGATATCTCACATGAATAAGGGTTTTAAAGTTCGCAACATAATTAATGTTAGACATAGAGTTACCAAAGAACCATTGCCCTTATTCTTTGTCGATATAGAGCCAAATGAAAACAACAAAAACATATTTAACCTGCAAGTCCTACGAAACTGCATAATAACAGTAGAACCACCTAGAATAAAAAATACAATAGTACAATGCACAAGGTGTCAAAAATACGGCACTCAAAAAGTTACTGCCTGAGGCCATTCGCCTGTGTTAAATGCGGTGGATCACATGACACAAAAACCTGCAAAAAAGCACGCGACACACCAGCAACATGTGCCTTATGTAATGGCAATCATCCAGCAAACTATAAAGGATGTGCTATATATAAAGACCTAGTAAATTCGAAAAACAAAAATATAACAAGCAGCATTCCTATATCTAGAGTTGCAAGCCTAAATAATAATAACACTAATGCTCACCACATACGTCAATCACATGTAACATATGCTCAAGTTGCAGCAACTAATACTTCTTCACAAGACAACAACAATAATTCAGACATATCAAATAAACTTACAGAATTCCTCAACGAATTTAAAAATATGTTTGCACAATTGATAAACCAAAACAGCATGATACTAAGCATGCTTACAACAGTGATAAATAGAACGTCGTAATGGCTAACTCACTCAGAATAGCAGAGTGGAACGCAAATGGTCTAGCAAACCATGTGCAAGAAATTATACTATTTCTAAAATTAAACAAAATAGACATCCTACTTATATCTGAGAGTCACACAACTGAGAGGTCTTTTATAAAAATTCCACACTATTCTGTCTATTACGCAAACCACCCAGACGGAACAGCCCATGCTGGTTCAGTTGTAATAATTCGTACAGCTATTAAACACTATGAACTGGCTCCATATATCACCAACAAAATTCAGAGTACTATCATAAAAGTACATGCGCTCACCTTCCCATTAACAATAGCTTCTATCTACAGCCCACCACGCCATACTATCAATCTGGAGGAATACAGAGAGTTTTTTGAACAACTTGGCTCACATTTTCTAGTGGCAGGGGACTGGAATGCAAAACATACAACCTGGGGAGCAAGACTGATATCTCCAAAAGGCAGAAATCTATTAAAGATCATACAAGATAATAACCTGAAGTACCTAACAACTGGTACCCCTACATACTGGCCCACTGATAACAACAAAATTCCTGATCTGTTAGACTTTGCTATAACTAAGGGAATACCTGAAATACACAGCGACATCACCCCCAGTTTTGATCTACATTCGGACCACAGTCCCATCTTGATTACCTTAAGTACCAATATAATTTGGAAAACTCTTGCACCAAGGCTATGTTCCAGTAACACGAATTGGGTTCAATTCAAAGAAGAAATCAATGAAAAAATATCTCTTGACATTCGACTCAAACACAAAAACGATATTGAAGAAGCTGTAAAATATCTAACGGAACAAATACAACAGGCCGCTTGGAAAGCTACTCCTGTAAAGGAAAAAACCATTGATGAAAGGTATAGTATACCCCTCCACATTAGAACACTAGTAGAAGAGAGAAGAAGAGCCCGTCGCAAATGGCAAAGAACAAGAAACGCGATAGATAAAACAAATCTAAACAGGCTCACACACAGACTTCATTCCGCTATCCAAACAGCCAAAAACGAATCTTTTGAAAGATATGTCGCAAACCTTTCTCTTGACGACAACTCTCTTTGGAAAGCCACAAAGAAACTCAAAAAGCCGGTAGTAATGAAATCACCAATTAGGAAAAATGATGGAACCTGGGCTCGATCAGATATAGAAAAATCCAACAGATTTGCAGAACATCTATCAAACACCCTGTCAACTATCATTACCACTAAAATACTTCTCACCAAATGAAGTCCGTAACCAAATTAACATGCTTAACCCTCATAAAGCTCCAGGATTTGACCTTATAACTGGCGAAATCTTAAAAAACTCCCAAGAAAAGGTGTTGTCTTAATAACCATTATTTTTAATAGCCTCCTGAGACTATGCTATTTTCCAGTGCAATGGAAGTATGCACAAATTATAACAATACCTAAACCTGGTAAACCTCTAACTGAAGCCAGTTCGTACAGACCAATAAGTCTCCTTCCAACTTTATCAAAAGTCTTCGAAAGGTTAATCCTTAACAGAATAGAAACAATAATACCTATAGAAAACCTTATCCCAGATCATCAGTTTGGTTTTCGCTCAAATCACTCAACCATACAACAGTGCCATAGATTAGTCAACAAAATAAAAGAGAGCCTAGAAGGGAAACAAATCTGTCTATCAGCATTCCTCGATATACAGCAAGCATTTGATAGAGTGTGGCACGAGGGTCTTCTGTTTAAAATAAAAACTCACCTAACTGACCAAATCTACCTCCTCCTTAAATCATACTTGTCCGACAGATACTTCCAAGTTAAATACGAAGGTGCTCTATCCAACTACCACCAAATAAAATCTGGAGTACCTCAAGGCAGTGTACTTGGCCCATTCCTTTACCAAATCTTCACTGCTGATATTCCTATTAGCGAAAATACACTAATGGCAACATTTGCGGATGACACTGGTATACTAGCATCAGATATCAATGAAATATTAGCATTTAACAAATTGCAAAATCATCTCAATGAACTAGAAGACTGGCTTAAATGCTGGAAAATAAATGTCAACACAAACAAGTCTTGTCAAGTAAATTTCACAAATCGAAGAATTAGATGTCCACAACTACACCTAAATAATTCAGCTATACCAATAAAAACAGAAGTAAGGTACCTGGGCCTTCATCTAGACGAAAAACTTACTTGGAAATCACATATTGCAGCCAAACGACGACACCTCGACCTAAAAGTTAAAAATATGAGCTGGCTAATCAACAGAAGATCGCAACTTTCATTAGAAAACAAACTAACCATCTATAAAACAATACTCAAACCAGTGTGGACATACGGAATTGAGCTGTGGGGCTGTAGCAAACCATCCAACACCAAAATACTGCAGACATTCCAGTCAAAAACTATTCGTATGTTAGCTAAAGCCCCATGGTATGTGTCAAACCAAACCCTGCATGCAGACCTCAACATCCCCTTCATCAATGATGTGATTGCTGACCACTCCAGAAGATACATGAATCGCAGCGCAGACCATCCAAACCATCTCATAGACGAATTATTCAACCCCTCACTGGTTGACAGACGTCTAAAAGACTTTGGCCAGAAGACCTAGCTGCTAGGTAAATTCCAGAGAGTCGTCAATGGACGACACCTGCCACAAGCCAAGAACATACATCATATTTACTTATTACTGTATTGAAGTAGATTGTAAATTAGCAATAAATAAATAAATAAAAATATATATATATATATATATATATAATATATATATATATATATATAATATATATATATAATATATATATATATATCAAATTTTAGCGCGTTGCATAATTTGACATTGCGAAGTTATAATTGTAATTGACTATCTTGAAAAAGCTAAAACTATCAATAATAGCCAATATTCTTGTGCATTATTGGACAAATTAAAGTGAGAAACGGCCCGATATGCAAAAGAAAAAAGGCGATCTTTGTCCAGGACAATGCGTTATTAAAATGGCAAAAATTCCTGAGATGGACTTCGAATAGTTTTCCCATCCAGCCCACTCTCCTGATTTGACCCCGTCCGATTATTATATGTTCCCAAATTTGAAGAGACGGCTCGTAAATAAAAAATTCGGCTCAAACAATAAAACAAAAAAATTATGTAAAAACATGTTTTTCATTTCAAAGGAGCTTACTTATGAGACCACCTTAATTATATATCGATTAGTAAAGAATGAGAC